ACATCGCATGTGTGGGTTGGTGCTGTGAAGGTGGGATAAATTGATGTGAGTGTGGAGCTGTGGCTGTATGGCACGAATTGCGGTGGAGACTAGCGGAGTAGAATGTGAGGATTGAAGAGAGGAGAGGTTGTACATGTGCAGGACTTGGACCGACTCCACCCAGGAGGCGCGTTCGACCCATTGGGACTGGCGAAGGACCCCGACCAGTTCGCGTTGTTGAAGGTGAAGGAGATCAAGAACGGAAGGCTGGCAATGTTCTCGATGCTGGGATTCTTCGTCCAGGCATACGTGACCGGAGAGGGACCAGTGGAGAACTTGTCCGCTCACTTGAGCGACCCATTCGGGAACAACTTGTTGACAGTTATCCAGGGAACCGCAGAGCGCGCTCCAAGCCTGTAACTAGATCAGCCGACATCATGTAGTTTGGGAGTTTCAACTATTGCAGTAAGAGTGACAGTCAGTCCCTTTGTATGAAGTTTAAGGTGTCTGCCTTGAGCACTGTAGGTATGCAAGTGTGTATTCTCTTTTGAATTAATGTAGTATTCCTTAATGATCTTCTTTCCAACGTTCATCTTTCGCCAAAGAGGCTGTTTTTTTTTTCAAATGGTTTAGAAAATTGATTATCGGATCTGTTGCGGGTATCAACATATTAATATCGGTGTGATAATTAAGTTTAGTAAGGGTCGAGTTCAACAACGAATTGCTTCTTTATGTGATCATCAAAGAAACTAATGAGGTCTGATACCTTCAACTAAATTCTGAAAATAAAAATTTCCCAATTTATCCCTTGAATTGGAGTGCTACTTCATCTCAACTGGTAAATTGTTCAATTATACTTAAATACCAAACTCAATTCTCACGTCTGCCTGTGCCTACAATATAAAGCAGCAAATATCTTACATTCAACTTGAAAACGAAAAAGTGTTATTTATTGCATCCTCATCACACCCAGAACCGAATATTATCGTCGATAATGAAAAATAGTTGTTTTACAACTACAGCAGCCTGGTGTGCACTGAAAAGTAGTTTCACAATTTTCTACATCTCCAGTTGCAACTTAAGAGAAGAAAATGCAACAGTATCACAAATATTGGCAGATTAATCATTCAAACCTTAAGCAATTTGTGGAGGTAACAATTTGTAGAGTATTTCGCAAAACGGAAAATTTGAATCGTATGGTTAAACGAAGAGCAAACCTTTGATTCTTTTTCTTGTCATATGGATTACATTTTATGAAAGATTGTGGATGCATCGATTTTTTTGATGCTGTTAGTAGAGAAAGCAACAAATTAAGTACACAAAAAGAAATACATTTTAACTGCTGATAAGTATTGAAGTAAACATGATCTTCTAATGAAGCTTTACAACCAATGAATATCATGAAGAAATAATTATTTATTTTTACTCGTAAATTTATTTGAATTAAAACATAATATTCGTATATTACATGTATGTTTTTATCTCCATCCATGTGAAAATTGCTTAAATTAGTTTAAATTTGTCTTAAACATTAATGTTGAAAAATAAATTATGCTTAAGTGTGTATATATATACATATATCTATATTTAGAATTTTCTATAAATTATTAATATGGTCATCAATTATTATGAAAATTAAAAATCTATAACAACTTGCAATTGATAACTAAAAGGATTTGTAATTTTGATTGAAATCATGCACATATGTTGTATTACAAAATAATTTAACATAGTAAAAGTAAACTTTGTCTTGGTTAGTTGAAAAAATTAAAGATTACTTATAAATTATGAGATTCAAAACTAAAAGAGAGTAGGTTACAATTGTTAATCTTTTTTTACTGAAAAATAATTTCTTATGAATATGTATATATATATATATATATATATATATATATCTTTGTTTAAGATTTTTTTAAATTTAGACTAAGCTATTAAATAGTCTTTAATGCAAATTGGTTTAGTATAGCCATGAAAATTTTATTTTTTATATTGATATTTTTATTATTTTCTAAAAAAAGTTTTAAAAAATCATAGTAGTCTTAAATGAAAATGAAGATTATTGTTTGGCTTGATAAATTTTCAAATATAAAATTAATTACCAATTTATTAAATTGTTCTTTTTTATTTCTTCAAAAAAGATTTTTTTTTGTTTTCTTAATATATTATTCTAGATATAATTATTTCTAAAGATTAAATAATCATTCCAGGGTATTCTATCCCAATATTGTTAAAAAATGTTTTAAAACATTCCTTTCCTATTCATGTTGAGGCTATGGCTTTTTTTTAATGATAGTATATTCGACACTTACTCTAGTTTCTACAAAATTTATAGTTTGGTGAATTCAGAATATATGTGTTTTGTGACATTAATTTAAACCATCTTAAACACAGTTTGTGAAACATTACCAATCTCTAAAAATCTTTAGAATTTTTTTTAAAAAAAGAAGTTATAACAAATCATCTTCATTGTTGCTTAATCATTGACAATCAACTTTGAGATACTTTTAGTATATAAAGACCTGTATCTTATTATAGAATTTTATAAAGATCTTGAGCTCTCTACCTTCAAAGTTTGTATTCTCAAATCATTCAAAAATCACAATAATGCCTTTTAATATTCACGTTAATATATAATTAAAAATAAATAAATGTATTCACTTAATTGGTATGTAGAATTCGGTTTAATTAAGTACAAGTATTGTTTACAAAGATTGATAAGTTATTCAAATCATTAATTGCTCTAAATATTTTTTTTTGTGATGCTAAATATTTGTTTTGTCTTATAGTACAATGTAGCAAATATTCATCTCAACTATAACTTGGAGCTCTACAAAATTTTAGTATAAATTTAACAAGATGTAGTTGGTAAATACACCACCCACATATAAGTCACAAGGCTCTAATGCTTAATGGTGGTATTTTTCTACGCATGCAATTGACATATGGTAATTTGCTTTAAAACAATTGTTCTATTTAGAATTATTAGGTATAGTATATTGTTCTTTACTTTCTTCTTTTTAATATTTTTTCTTTTATTTTAGTTTGCATATAATTAGTTTTTGAGGTGATTGTATCTTTTTAAATCTAAGGCTAAAAAATATTATATTATTTATATATTCCACCATGATAATAAAAAAAATTAGTTCTTTAATAAGAATAATGTTACATTGTAGTTTATACACCATATTGTTTCCACATGGTTGCACATAGTAAAATTGGGGTCTTTTGTATCATATAAAGAAGTAATTCATGAATTTTTCTTCTTTCTCCTCTCTTCTCTCCTCTCACTCTTTCTCTCTCTTCTTAAGTACTTCAGTAAGATTTAATATCTACAAAATTTATCTAAAGTAGCCAAACATTATTTTTTATTTTATTTTATTTTTTCTCTTGTTGCCAAAATGTTGCATTTAGACTGCTGAGTTTGACATTATTAGCTCAAACAATGGTTGAGCTATATATAACTTAGGATTACCCACAACTAGTATTTTGGTTTGTACTGAAATGAAGCTAAGAAATATCAAAGATTGCAAAATATAGTTTAAAACAATAAAATTTATCTATTTTGACCTACTTTGTGAATTGTGTCCACAAATTTGTTATCATTGTCTATTATAGAATAATATGTGATGCCTTTGTTGGATCTTATGATTTCTTTTCCTTTCCATGTATTCTTTTATTATTAGTTATTAAGAGAATGCATCTAATTTACATTCTATTTAGGATATAAATATCTCATTATTGTAATTTAGTAGAATGTTTAAATCATTATCACTATTGACTATTAAACTTTATTTATTTGCAATACTTGTTAATTCATGAAATATTGGTCTTTCCTCTTGTTGACAAATTAAAAACAACAAGCTATTAATGATAGTGAGCATGGAAGGATTCTACAAGCTGAATGTTTCCTATTTCTTATCTACCCATATATCCTTTAATAGCTTCTAGCTCTATCTATTAACCAATAAAAAAACCCTCCATTGCATCCGATAATTTTCCTTTCTTTTCTATATAGAATGTATTTTTATTAAGATAGTACTTATATCTATTCTCTAGAGTTGAGGTTTAAAAAAGAAACAAAACAGAAAAAAAAAAAAAAAAAAAAAAAAAAAAGCAATTGCACTTCTGGCATTTTAGGATTTTTTTCATTTCCTAAAAATCCTCTATTCTTTAGTTTATCATGAAGTAGGAGAAAAATTTAATAATGTACAATCAGTGCTTATTTCTTTGTGAGTAGATGAGTAACCAAGATCTGTATTTTATAGCCTTCACCAAATATCAAAATAGTGTTAAATCTCAATTTGTGAATTAGTTTGAATGTGAAGGAATTCATAAATATTTCTTTACTAAATGTAAGTAAGAGAACAAGTTTTGGATATAATCAATATACAAAGTTTTGTTGCGTCAGTTGCATCTTTTAACTTCAGATGTCGAACAACTTCAGGATTATAATGTCTTATTTTCATTTCGTGTACCAAATCTAACATTGTTGTATGTAAAGATCGTTCACAGATTGATGTTAGCCAGTTCTCGTCTACGAAGTTTTCGCATTCCGAACTATTTTCGACAGCGATATATGTTACTGCAGAAAGAGGAGAAATGGTGGTGTCACCAAAATAGGTGTATATAGAAGGGGACAATTCACAGAAAAGACCGGAAACTGTCTGTGACGTAGTTTTTTACGAGTATTTGGATAATGGGCTTCCCTAAAAGAAGATTATCGACAGCTTCTGGTATGGTATTATATTCGCACAGCTGTGCCTATTCCACGCCATTTCAGCATGTGCCAAAAATAGCATAAAAACATATACTCAGTGTCACCCAATTTAATTTCACGGGAATGTACGGACGACTGTAATTCTTGTATAGAATGCAGGAACCTTCATGTTACTTAAAGAAAAATGAAAGTATATGTAGCTAAGGAGCGAAAGATGAACGTTGGAAAGAAGATCATTAAGGAATACTACATTAATTCAAAAGAGAATACACACTTGCATACCTACAGTGAAAATTCGGGCACAGATATCAATATCCAATGGTTTCACCCATATATACCCATTGTTCGATAATCGAAACAGGGAAGTTGTCGGCTGATCTAGTTACAGGCTTGGAGCGCGCTCTGCGGTTCCCTGGATAACTGTCAACAAGTTGTTCCCGAATGGGTCGCTCAAGTGAGCGGACAAGTTCTCCACTGGTCCCTCTCCGGTCACGTATGCCTGGACGAAGAATCCCAGCATCGAGAACATTGCCAGCCTTCCGTTCTTGATCTCCTTCACCTTCAACAACGCGAACTGGTCGGGGTCCTTCGCCAGTCCCAATGGGTCGAACGCGCCTCCTGGGTGGAGTCGGTCCAAGTCCTGCACATGTACAACCTCTCCTCTCTTCAATCCTCACATTCTACTCCGCTAGTCTCCACCGCAATTCGTGCCATACAGCCACAGCTCCACACTCACATCAATTTATCCCACCTTCACAGCACCAACCCACACATGCGATGTTCCGTCACATACCGATCCCAAAGGAGACTTGTTGGTCGACCTGTAGTACTCGGCGCCTCCTACCAGAATCACCTCGGCGATCACGGCCGCTGCCAGATTGAGGGGGACGGTGGCTCCGAAGTACTTGATGGAGTCACCCTCCAGCAGCAAAGCTCCGGTCTGACAACCACACCAACTCGTCAGACATTCTCGTTCGCCACCGGGCGCACCACATGCACTCATCCGCACCCGCATCAAGACTGCATTCATTCCCGAATACCAAAATGAATCACTACGCTCTACCATACAAAATCTTCTCCGTGCTAAACCACGCCCTCCGGACCCCTGCCTCACCTTCCACCACACTGCCTCGGGCCCGCACACAGCGCCGAACTTGTTGAATGCCTCGGGAAGAACGAACCCAGCGGCACCCAACATGGCCCACCTCGCGTGGATCAACTCGTACGCTTGGTACCTGCACCCACCTCCCCATCAGAACACTACACATCCGTGCCGCCCCACCACCACGCAAGCTTCAACTCTCATCCTCACCAACAACTTCGCTCACTCCTCACCTGTCGAAGTCCTCGGGCTTCTTCGACAAACCGAAAGGGTCGTACCCATAGCTGCAAAACAACATCATCGCCGCATTGTCAGTCTCGTCCTCAAATCTCACTCACTCGCCTCCTACCACCCCTCCACCTCCACGCAATGCGCCTCCAACCCACAACGCCATGCTACCACAGATGCTCACAGTCGGGGCCACTTACTCTCCGGGGACCTCTCCGGTCAGGTACTCGGGGATCTCGTCCTTCGCCAAAAGGCCCTCGGGCAGGTAGATCCTCCTATCCGGACCTGCATTACCCCAACACCGGTGTATCATACACTGCCACTTGCATCACCTAGCAATCCCGCAATGCCACACCAACAATCCCGTATCCTAACCCTCTGCATCATGCCCCACTACCATACCCATCACTCATTACGCGCTGCACTCGAAAAATCGTCCAGATTGGGGCCACAACCAATTACCCCAAAATGCACCTCACACCCAAACTCCCGCTGTCCGACTCCCCCCTCCCCCGCACACTCCCTCACGTCTCAACACCGCCACTCTCCTCTTCGTCTGAAATTACTTACCGTACCACTTGGCCAGCTCCTCATTGCTGGGGACATTCACCTTCACGCTCGCTTTCTTCACGGCGCCCGCGGCCTTCCCCGCGGCCTTCTTCGCCGGCGCGGCAGCCTTCTTCGCCTTCCCGAGCAGCGACACCACGCGCAGAGCACCCTTCCTCTCACTCACCACCTCGCTCTTGCTGGCCACCACGGATTGGCCCAGGAACTCAGCCTTCGCTGCTGCCATGGCTGCCATCGCACCACACCAGATTGCTACCAAATCTGGGGCTCAAGCGGAATCTCAAGCTGGGTGTGAGAGACGAATGCGATGTATGTGTATGTGCGAGAGCTGCAGGAGAGCCGGGGCACATGAAGAGGTGCGTCGCGGGGCTCGCAGGCTTGGATCACCGGGCGCGCGGCCAATTGGATGTGGATAAGGCGACCACGGGCCTCCAATGGGGCCGAGATCGCTCCACCCCTCCCCGCCCCCGGTCTAGATTTTGTGATTCTGGCTTAAGGTCGAGAGTTCCAATTGAACTAGAACCCCACTTTACAGGGAAGTGCGAGTTCAATTAAAGTTTACAGCTCTGATGGACGTCGTGCTTGGATGGATGTAATTCGTGAGCCGCCTTAGCACATTATGTGGCATCTTCAGTTCGTGTGGGGGAGTTTGCAGATCAATTGCCCAGTATGCTGAAGAGAAATGTTCAAACGAGGCTCTCAGTAGCAAAGCATGCCTACTTAACGAACAGTTTTGGACACAATTTGAGGATGAAATAGACTTTATTCAACTACGGAAACAATTAGACATGCTATGTTGGATGAACAACTACTACAAACTCTATTTTTGTAGGGTTAAGTAAAGACCTAAACCTAATCACCAAATTAGGTTAACATAACTGTGGCTGTAAAAGGATATAAATAGTATTGTTTCAATAAGTAAATCAAGTAGTGTATACATTGACATTTTTGGTAACTTGTTTACATATATAGTGTCACAGCTTCTGAGTGTCACTTCTTAACCCTCTTATTTCTTCATAATATTGGAGTAGGTCTTGTTTTTGAGTTGATTCAAATATCTCCTTCATTCTTTTCTATCCTTTCTTTTCTATTGAATTGCAAATGTTTTTAGATTTTTTTTCTCAAACTTTGCACTAATCATCGACATACATATTTACTCTAATATTTATCTATATGATTAAGTAGAAGTAGATAAAAGTATATTTAATTCATAATATTTTATTAAAAAGCATCTTAGAAGCTTCATAGATGTTTTTTTGACTTTACATGTATTTGTAGTTAATTGGTAGGATAAAAACTTGGTCAACAAGTTAACCAAATGTTGGTAGCTCATAGAACAAGCTAACTATATGGCGTACTATCACAAATATATATACATTGTTGGGGTAGGGAGAATTTGCCTTAAGAAAGCACTGGGCTTTTAGTTATCACTAATTGCTCAACCAAGCCTCAAGATAAAAGAAAATATCAAGTTTATATATGAAATTTTCACTATAGAGGCAATTACATCAATATATAAGCTCTAAATACCAAAGATCACCAAAAATGTCATAAAAATATTATAAAACCTTGTATATCCTTAAGGTGATTTTTTTTCAAACTTCAACAGTTCATATCTCACGATTAGATTGTCCAAACAAATCAAAATTTTACAAAAAGTACTGATGTACTTTTAACAACTACCATAACAAATTTCAACTACAAATTTATTATGGATCTCAAGATATCACCAAAACCTTAATAGCTTCAAATCCTTGCTTATATACATCTATGAGAAAATTTCTTCATATCTCACAAAATAATTATTCAAACACCATAAAATTTTAATATATAGCTTTTTAACCTAGTAACATACACTTTTAGAAATTTTGAGCCAAAAATTTACTCGAAAACTCAAGATATGGCTCCAACCATTACTATCAACAAAATGATTCACTTATTGCCTTTGAATTACATATGTTATCGTCAATGCTCTATAACTTCTTTATACAAATTCCAAATACAAAAATTCTTTCATAAGAAATGTAGATCTTGAAATCATCCTTGCAATTGCTTCTTGTAATCTCCAACATCTATCATAAAAATCTTCGTATTTTCAAAATAGCAACAATATATCTTTAAAAGACACCTTAACTTTAAATGACTATAACTTCATCATCTTAACTCTAAATCTTTTAAAATTTGTATACAAATTGTAGTCCAAACCCTAAACCTTATAATCCTTATTTTTAATTTTCAAATTTTTCTTGTGAAGTTGCCAAAATCCTTGTTATGGTCGTAGATAGCTTTCTAAATTTGTATTGGACATGGCCTTCAATCAATAGGAATAAAGATCTTTACTTTTAACCTTCATCCATACTTTCATTCCTCCAAATAAGCTTCTTAGAGATTTGGATCTTCAACTTTGAATCCTAATCTTTTCCTCAAATTTTATACTAAATATTTAAATCCTATATATTTTAAATATTATAATCAACATAGATAAATCTCAAAATAAATTTTCTTATATCAACTCTCTTTAAATTAACCTACTAACCACTCTAAAGTACATCAATACTTATAATTATATTATCTATTTTAGTTAATTTTTATATATTATAAAAAATTATATTATAACAATATATACTAGTAAATACCTATATGATTAGATAGAAATAGGTAAAATAGATAAAAATAGATTACTTTCGTAATACCTCTTAGAAAAGCTTCTTAAAAGCTTCATAGATGTTTTTTTGACTTTATATGTATTTTTTAATTTATTTGTAGATTAGAAACTTGGTCAACAAGTTAACCATGTATTGGTAGCTTATGGAACAAGCTAACTATTTGGCGCACATATAAGAAACTTGCCTTACATGTTAAGATATGTGTCTTATAAAGTCAATATGTTTTAGATGTTTTATATGATAATGCCATATAGCTCCTAATTAAGAGTATATATGGAAGCAAGAGTGAAGTCTTTTTCACTCTTATTAATGCCTTTCTATTCCTTGGTCTTATTACAAGACTTTTAGTCTTCTTATTTTTAGCAATAGCTATTCTAATTTAATATTATATCATCTTTAAGTAACTTTCTACTTCTTTTCAGTGACGCAAGAGTTTATTGAGGATTTTCTTTCTTTAAGATTCATATCTTTGATAATTTTGATAAGAATATTAATTTACTATTTCTATCTTATTTTTAGAAGTGAATAGATTATCCTACTTCTATTGTTATATTTTGAAGGTTGCGGACTACCTAACTTTAAACAAACAATCTTGTTTTCTAATATTGATCTTTTTTTTAAAGAGAGTGGATTATCTTTCTTTATAAAAATTTTCATTTGATGTTAAAGGTTCTAGATTATACTTTTCTAATTGAATTTTTTAAATTTATTTGGATTATTTATAGAAGTAAAGATTATGGATACTATTCTTAGTAAAAGTGAGAATAGATTTATAATTATTGTAGATCTTTGTGAGCTTGTAAACACTTTAAAAGTAAAAATTTCACGTATTTTCAATATGAATCATGGAGGTACTATTCCTATGCCTATAGAAAAAGTCCAGAGTCTATGGCAAGAACTCATGCAATTAAAGAAAGTAACTAGCTCCATTTCAAAACCAAATCCAAGGAGTTTTTCTTCTACAAGTATAATGGAAACAAGAATTAGTATGCTTGAGAAGTTTGATGGAATAAGATCAAAATTTTGATGACTTTTGCAATAAGTCAAGTTCTATCTAAAGTTGCATCTCTTTTAATACCCCAATGGATTTATTCAAGTCGGATTCATAAGTATATTTCTATTAGAAAGTACTTTTTTTTAATTTATATTTTTAATAGAAAAAGATTTATAGATCTTTTATGATTTGAATTCATTCAAAGAAATGTTTATAGCTACATTTGGAGAAATTAATTAAAAAAGAGTAGCAGAGACTAAGTTCTTATCTTTGCAACAAGGATTACAATCAGCCACCATATATGATGCTGAATTCCAAAACCTAACTTGGAATATAGACTAGAATGATAAAGCCCTTATTAATCAATTTCAATATGGGTTGAAGGATAATGTCAAAGATTTATTATTGAGAATGTCAAAGGCAGAATCTTTAGAACAATTTATTACTCAAGCTATTGCATGTGACAATCAATTATTTGAAAGATGTCAAGAATAAAGACTTGAATACAAAGGAACAAATCAGATAATAATAGCAGCGCTCAAGTTTTCAAAAATATATTCATTAAGGCCTAAATTAATGTAAATTAATATGATACATTTTAAATCCTTCACGGAGTAAGAAAAGATTAAATGATGTTAAGACGGCTTATACTTATATTGTGGAGAAGCTAAATACACTGCCCAATATTGTCCAAAGAAACAATGCAACCACAAAATGAGAATCATGGTTGCCAAAGAAGATGATATGTTGAAAAATAAGTTTCTCTAGTTACAATACGGACTATGTGGCTGGAATCTTGTGTAACTCCTAAAAAAGGTTCTATTCTCTCTTTAAATCTCTCATCTTATTTTATAATAGAAGTTTATTTAAGACTAAAAAATCACAAAGTCTTACCTTTGTTAGATTCAAGAGTCTCAACATATTTTATAGATGAAGATATTGTCAAAAAATAAGAGATATTATTAGTCAAAAAAACTAAATCTATACATGTAAAAGTCATAGATGGTCACTTACTATCTTTTGGAGATATTATCCATAAGATTGTTCCTTTCGATGTAGCAATTAAAGTTCACAATAGCATAGTAATATTTAATGTAATAAGATCTCCATTTAATTTGATTATTTTAGGATTATCTTGATTAAAAAAGTATAAATTCTAAATAGATTGGATTTCTTATAATCTTAATTTTTTTAATAGTTTAATCCAAAATCTGATTAATCAAGTAAAAATACATAAGTCTAGTACATCCAAACCTTTATTGATCAATGCAAGAGCTTTTATGCATGCCAAAAAAGAGGGATTATCTTTTGCTTTATATGCCATGCTCATTTTTGATGGCAAAAAGACATTAAGCGGTATTCTTAGCTAGTATTAAGATTTTTTAGATTTTTTGAAGAAAAAAATATAAATATTCTTTAAAAGCATCATCCTTATGATTATTCCATCAATCTTCAAGAAAATATTCAACCACCATCTGGACCAATATATAGCCTATTATAAAAAAAAGTTGATTGTACTTAAGGAATATATTAATGAAAACTTAACTAAAAATTTCATACATCATTCTAAATCTTCAGTGAAAGCTCTTATTTTATTTGTGAAAAAAAAAGATGGATATCTATGGATATATGTGGACTATTGAAGATTTAAGAAGATTGCCATCAAGAATAGGTATCCTCTACTTTTGATTTCAAGACTTTTTTATCAACTAAATCAAACAAAGATTTATACAAAAATAGATCTACAAAGAGTATATAATTTGGTATGCATTGAAGAAAGAGATGAATGGAAAGCTGCATTTTGAATCAAGTATGGGCATTTTG